CAATCAAGGCCAGCTATCAGAGCAGATCATGACAAATATATGCTGTGACTTTACAGGAATGCACCCATGTACAGATATGTAAAAAAAAAAAAAAAAAAAAAAAAAAAAAAAAAAAAAAGAAGAAGAAGGTTCTTATCCTTCGTTTGATTCAATTTTTCTTAACATTTAAAAAGTGAAAGTGGGAGGAGACCTTTAAGACCTACAATAACATTTGATCACTAGATTTGGAAACTTTATTTGAGATTTGGGTAATCTGCATCTAACAAGCAACAGATTCTCCCACCTTAGCTGATCCTCCAAGGTCTGAATCTCTTGGCTGCTTCTCTGAATAATGTTTTCTCTGTTCTGTCTGGCAATGGATAGTGATTTATTGGTGGATCCATACTCTTTCCAGTTAAGCATGGTTGATACTGTAGATCAGTGCTTTGATTTTTTTCAAAACATTTTATTTGTACATCCCATGTCCCTACAACTTTCCCCCTGACATTTCTGCTGTTTTTGATCTTTATATAACAGTTTAATTTAGAGGTGTGTCTATAACTCCAAATATGGTCTGTTTATGAATTAGATTGCAGTTAACTGGATGGATTGTATTTGTTTCTTATATACCGTAGCTTATGATGGGCTGAGTGCAAAGGTATGATCACATGTTTAATGCGTGTGTAGTTATGGAGCAAAAAAAACAGCCCTCTTCCTGGTTGGTTTCAAATTTCAATCCTTAAACAAGACTGTCAGTTAAAATTTAAAAACTATATATATATAGGGGATTTTATTCAGCCATCCGTGCCCACAAACTAAATAAAAATCTATTCTGCCTTGTGGTCAGAATAGAATAGAATGTGGTCCAATAATTTCCAAAAGAAAGCAAAGAGCTTTACATTGTTCACTCTGTATCACAAAAGCAAACCTGGATTGCTCATCATGAGAACAGGTAGACAGTCTATATTGACCTCAAAGGACATGATTCTTATGTGATGACAGTAAAGAACAGTCTGAGGCCTTGGTAATTTGCTGGCATTTCAACATTAAATTTAACAGAGGTTACCATACGTCTCCCATAAGCACTGGAGTAATTTCTTTAAAAAAAAACAGATGGAAGCATTCCCACCTTCTTTGCATTCTGATTAGGAAAAAAAAAACATTATCAACAGCAATACCAAAACATCACAAAACCCTATTTAGATCAGGATAAAAGTCAACAAAACTTTCCACATATCTATGTTCCTAATAAACAGCTTTGCTATGAAAAAAAATGGATCTGAACAATTGAACTAATTTAGCAAAAGAATTTTGTTTGTAAGCATCAATTAACCAGAATCTGAATCTCACTTTTTTGTGCACTGGTAGCAGTTAAATTAACCCAAACCTTATAACCTGATGTTATATAACAAGAGAAGTAGCTGTCTATCAGCCTGCTGTGCTCTGCACAAAGCAGAACCAGTGAATTAAGTCAGTTTTTGGACTTGTAAACAAATTGGAACATTTAAAATTTTAGGAGGAGCTGGTTTAAGGTTCTTTAAGACAGGGGTGTTCACGCTGGTCCTCAATGGCCTGTGTTTCGCATTTTTTAGATATCACAATGCATTTCTGATATATATGTTTGCAGAGCAGAGGGACTGCAAACAATTCTTGATGTCTTTCTCTAAATCGAATCTTAGAGGGCTTCTGTTCTGCTTCTTCTACATAGATGTGTCTCTGTATTAATGCACCAGACTCACACACTGTAGACCATGTATGGAGCTCTGTAGAGTGTGACTGCATGATAGGGACGCGTTCTAAATTCAGATGTAGCCCAATAAACACATGCAGGAAACCAACCCTCTCAATTATTAGATGATTGCCATCAATAAAAAAGTACATAACATTAGTTGATAAACAATAAGTGGTATGAGCTTTCTGTGAGGCATGTGACTGCAAATGACAGATTTACAACCAAGATTTCTAAAGAAGTTTCTGGCATGCTCAGGGGTGTTGTGTTGAGTTTTATCATCTCGTCTAACGTTTATCATGTCTTTCTATCTCCATACTTCTTCTTCCTGGATTGAGGAAGAAGTAGCATAGCAGGTTTCCATACAGGTTGCTGTTACATAATTTCATTAGAGCAAAGCTTTTACCTACCTTAAAAGCATGAAAGCAGTTGGGAAATAGACTACAAAAATGTCACCTAAATTATGCAAATAATTTCCATTAACTCAACAGGGAAAGCTGTGTTGTGATTGTACAGAAAGTCATCCCCCTGTCTAAAATACAACAATAAAAAAAAACAATGTTTTGTGTCCTTTGTTTCTTCTTTTCCTTTTTTTCTTTTTCAAGTCCTTAATAGTTGCAAGAGGGCACATGGATACATCTTTTTTTTACATGCAGTCAATTGCGACTTGCCCCACTGGCCAGGTAGACAACCCCCTATCAGAAGGGACCCTGCCAGTAAGGTTCCCTAGGTGCTTAAACACCCCCCTTACAGGGCTTTTGGAATATTTATGTCTGTTTTAATAATTATGATCATGAAGCGGGTCTAAGCCTTAAAAAAGTTGCTGACCCCACGCCTATGGCTATGTTTACACCACAGGTCTTGATACATAATTCTAATTTCTTGCTAGAATCCAATGTTTTTGGCATAGACTTTTATACTACTATTTATATGTCATTATCAAACTCCAGTATATCAGGATATTCAGGATACCAAAGCAACCCACACAAGCAAAAAAAGGAGTGTAGATGTCACTCAGCAACCCACCGTCTACAGAGGTAATGGTGAATCTTATGCTCTCTAGAGGCGTATAACAAAGCTTTATTAAAGGGGATGCCAGTGTCTCTTGGGCCATGGCAGCTGACGTAATGGCCCTATCATTAACAAAGGAGGAAAGTAAGAAAAGATGGCATATCTATTAAGAACGGTGGTTTGAAAAAGCAATCAGTGACTACTGCTGCAAAGAGTCTCTGTGTATGTGTAGTGGGAGCACTTGCAATGACGTAAGTCAGATAAAATGCAGCATGACCGTTTAGACATTGGCTACATTACCTCTACAGGACTTAATACTCAATTCCAATTATTTGTCAGATCTGATTTTTATTCTGTAGCTGTTCACATGACTGAAGTAGCTTGAATGTGCAGAAAAACAATAACATATCACATCCAACCATGCTTAGAGCATAAGTGACTGAGATGCAGAGAAGATCAATTACTGTACAAGAGGTGTCTAAGAGTCCTTTAGAGGGCAGCCTTTGAAGTCAGTGTCTATGGATGTTAAGCAGGGGAAATAGTCGGGTGATAACGCGGAAAAAGGATAGTGAGGAGGAAGAGAGCTGAACTCTTCATGATGGCTTTAACTGTGATGTAACACCTTAGAATCAACTAAGGTATTTGACGGTTTTACCATTCCAGATTGGATCAAAAACGTCAGATTCCATGTGACTTAGCCTGGTCACACAGTTATGAAAGAATCTCACCTGAGTCACTTCAGGTCAAAAGAATCAGACTGCACCACATTTGTCTGTGGTGTAGCAACTGATAATTATTAGATCCATTTCTGATTTAGGACCACTATAGAATGGGCTCCATTCAAATTTTGGAGGAGGTAAAAAAATCGGAATTGGGCGATTTAGACTGCTGTGAAAAAGTCAAATACCAGTGACATAGGGACAAAAGGATTGGATCTTGATTGTATTTGCCCGGAGTGTGAACTTAGCCTTTGAGACAGGGGGGCAAACAAAAACAAGGTAAAACTGTCGTGTTTTGTGCCAGACGAACTGCTAATCCATAAAGACCAGCTCTACTCATTATGATCCTTGCCAACATTAAATCACTCGACAACCAAACGGAAAATATTTAACTGTGGATCATCACACAATAGATGGACGGCTGTTTTTTTTTTTTTTTTCTTTTTTTTGCCTTTTTCTGCTGGTATAAACATGGTGGAGTACCTCCATGAGGCCAGGGCATCCAGACCTCACCTCTACATTCCGGCAAGGGGGAAATGATCTGACAGTGCCTCTGTCACCACTGCTGGACAGCCATTGCACCATGTTACACTGCTTCCAGCCATCAATGTTTGCTTTAAGGCATTTTTTATCTTACACATTAAATACCCAAAGCAGTGTGAATATGTTTGGGAATTCCTACAGAGAGCAGTCTATGAAAAGCCAGGAGGAGAGTCTGAACTTGTAGTTTCTTCAAACTAAAACACTTGGTAGCTAATGGAGCCAACAGCCTCAAGTACAGCGTGTTGTTAAGTTTGACAGCTGGCCTGTTGCTCTTCTCAGTTGTTATTTTTGTGCATTGTTTTAATGACACAAATTTAAATTATCCCCTGTTTAACTTGACTGCTTGCTTTTTGTAATGTGAGTATTAAGTATTGATACATTTTAAAACGGTGCCATGTAAAGATTCCAGTATGGTGTTTCTTACATATAACATGTTTGCATGAGCATATTTAGCATGTATCTTTTTTAAAGATATGATAAGTCTATTGCAATTTATATTCCTAATAAATGTGCTGTAATATCTTAGAATCTGGTAAGGTATTTCAAAATTTTGCCAAGCATTTAAAAAGATTACTAAACAAATTTATGTAGCTTTTGAAACAATCTAAAACTTTGGTTAATTTCACCCAGCATTTGGCTAGAAGAAATAAATTATAAAGTTAAAACAACCAATAATTGTTATTATTTCAACCAAACATTTGCTTAAAGACTTGTTATAAAATATGTGTGGTTGGAGTTATCCAAATTTGCAGTTAGTTCAACCCATAATAATTTGGAATATTATAGCCCATTCGTTGGGTTCTAATGAACCAGCCCATCTTGCCGGGTCAAATCGACCAATACTGGGCCAGTGCTATAATAGCCCTGCAGCTTAGCTGGAAATAACCAAGTTTGGCTTATTTCTGACCCACTTGTTTGTTTGATTCATAATAATTTCAGAACCACCTGGTATTTCATGCTGCATGATTTTATTTCAAAATGATATGAAATCAATATCACATCAACACTTGATTGTTTCGTAGCCCTCGTGGACTTGTTGGACACAATCAAATAAAATACATTACAATAGTGCTGACATAAGAGCCCATGAATATTTTTCACATACATAGATAAAAGTTCATCAAATAAAATACAAAACATTTAGCGACAGATACCAGGCCTTTTCACAGATTTTGCCAGATCAAAAACACCCTGAACTGTGTCGTCTTCATCAGCTTTGTTTTAAGGCAAGCTTTTAAAACCCTCTATAAAACCATCGGATATCAGTCTTTTCATGGTATGGTTAAAATGAATTTATTTACAAGTACATGTTTTTACATTCACACATTACAGTGACACCAGACATTTTTAGTTCTTCTGTATTGTTTCAGACATAATCAGCAAAAACAACCTGCGTGAAATTATTTTCTCTGTTTCTTTCTTCTGTATTGACCCTGTCATCATCTTCACCTGTCCCGTCATTTTCAACATTGCATACCCTCCTCCATCCTACTAAGCTCCTGTTGTAGTTGTTCTTTCTCATCCAGTATCCTCTCCTCATTAATAGCATTCAGCTGCTCTTCTATCATCTTCTTTTCTTTCTCTGTTTTTTCTGCCTTCTCTTCCTTCTTCATCCTCCAGTAGAAGGCCAGGTTTTTTTCAGGGTAAGTTACTTTGGCCAGCGGCAGTTTAAATATCCTCTTGGTCCCCGTTGTCAAGAGAAGGAATGTCAGAGCAGAGAGGCAGAAAGGCCAAGTGCATGCCGGCAGACCAAACTGGAATATATGGATACAGAATGAGATGCAAACAGATGGAAAATTATAGTGTAAGGTTTTCTGTGTGCTTACCCTGGACATGATATTAGCTATGGCTGAGCCGAGGTATGCACAGAAAAAAGCTGCAGAGAAGAAGAGGTCTTTCAAATAAAGTAATAAAACTAGCATGACTGCATAGCAGAAATACCAGATGTATGTTTGACTCAGCTGTTTACAGCTAACATTTTTTAGATGGAGGTTTTTATCTGTGCATATCTACTCACCGCATGTGATGGCAAGCAGGTGCACCTGCCAAGTCAGGGCGTAAAACATTCCTCCAATAGCGATGCAGGCTAACACACAATTATATCCCCACAAACCAAAATAAATGTCCTCGAAAGGAGCCGACAGAGCCAGACCTGTGAGAAAAAGAAATTAATTTACAAGCACATAAACATCAAATGTCAAGGAAACAGAGGCAGCACAGTGTTCTGTTGAACTCAATATTTGTGCTTTTTTGTGCTACTTCATAATATAACCTTAACAGTTATGTAGTGATTTGCAGAATATCTATACCCATTGAACATTTTCACCAATTACATTAAACTTATTTTATTTGTATTTGTGTATCTGACAAAGAAATGTCACATATTTGTAAAGTACAGTAAGAAAACATTCAGGGTCTAGTGGGGCGGTGAATAAATGAAAACTCCACTTTGAGATGTTTGTTTGAAAAATTACTCTGAAAAATTATTTATGCTTTTTCTTCCGCTCCACATATCTACTCTATTTTGAATATAAAAATTTGCTGAAATGTGAGAGCCTGCAGTCAGTACAGTTTGCCAAATTGTGCACTTTTAAACCTTGTTTATTCTTTAATGACATCACAACTTCTTCAATCTGTAAATACATAAGGTATCACATATAAAGTGTAATTTATTGTTGTTCTATCATCTGCATGCAAAGCCTTAGTTTAGATCCCTCACCTGACACCATGCCTGCAGCAGATCCTAGGATGGCGTGCGCACAAGTGATGGGTGAAGAGATGAAGAGGGAGATGATGAAGATCCCTCCGGTCCAAGGGTTGTCACAGCCATACACCTGGCCTATTCCCACTGGTACTGACCTGAACAGCTAAAAGAATTTTTAAAAAGATTAAAAAATGCAATCAATTATAATCTTAAAAAAACTTTTTAAGGCTTTTAAGACGGATATAACTTAAAAGGTCCTCTATAGCATATTAGTACATCAACATTTTATCTTGTTAGAAGTGAAGCAGCAAAACGAAACACAAGGAAAATGTGGTCTATTGCTGACCTTAGCCAGGTCAATTTCAGACCAGGTGATGTTGGGGAGCTCTGAGCGTGGCTGAATGAGGACTTGAGGGAAGTGGTGGTTATAGTGGCCGGTTGCAACCATGTGGAGACACACCAGGATGTTGAATGGAAGAGTGAACACTGGCAGATCCCAGCGGCTGTTAATGGATGCCAGGGCACTGGACACAATTGGGCTAAAACACAACAAACAGAATATTACTTATTGAATGAATTCAGGAAAATGAAGTGCATCTTTTTCTAATATGAACACCCAAACCACCGATTTCCCTTTGACTGAATGAAACAGGATTGAATGCACAACTCTGAGATATATGATGAGTGGCACTTATTTCTGAAATAACCAAATACCTATGATGCTTTCATAGTCAATGGTTCAGACTGGGTAAGGACTTGAGCCTAGTGATATGAAAGATAGATGGAGTGCATGCCAGCACAAATTATATCTAAATGTAAATTTAGGTAGTTTCACCAGATATTTACTTTGAAACTTCATCTAATATACATTGTTTGTTTTTCTGAAAATGAAAGCTCAAAATCATGATATTCTTATCTTGAAAATTGAGAAACAAGCTGGAAAATGTTTTTAAAATAAAATAAACATACTGATTTGGCTTAGAAAATAGGTACCACGAGGAAAACAAAAAAAAATCCCTTCATCAAAAAGTTGAAGCCTGGTTTGACAATGGATAAATCTTGTTTCTTGCTCCCTTATTATAGCTACTTACCACATCATAGACATAAAGATGTTAGGCAGCAGAAGCCACCAGTACCAGTCTCCTGCATTGGAGAACACAGCCATCAGGAGACCCACCAGGATGCCGTTGTACCCGTAAAGTCCTGCAGCTATTGCACCCCTAAGAGAAAGCAATAGCAACTGATCAATGCAACCTAATTTTATTTAGGAAATTATTTTTTTAATCTATCAAATTGATTTATTCAAATTATGTACTTTTCTTACCGGCTTTGTTGCAGAATGAGAGCAGAAATGGTTGCAAAGAGAGTCCCAACAAAACCATTGAGAGCCCACCAATAGTTTTGTAAAATGAGGCCAGCAAAAATGATAAGGCCACTCAGAGGGTTGTTAACAAACATCACCTGGGACGCTCCACGCAGAACCCAGTCCAGCAGCTGCAGCAAGATAAACTGTTCTGGAAAGAGCAGGGAAAAAATATTACCTCGAGGAACAGTTGACAAAATACAAGATGAAGGGTTGGAAATGCTTATAGGTTGCAGCCAATTTTAAGGACAGGGTGTTCTCTATTTTGTACATCAGCACTGTTTTGTTATTAAAACATAGGAAGATGTAGTAAGTTGAACTTACTCTCCATCCATTTTCCAAACACCTCCATGTCTCCTGAGAAGTAGGAGACACCTTTGAGAAAGCGCGCCCAGGCCTTGTGTAGACATGATTCCTCTGTGGGCTGTGATTTGCCCTCAATCCCGTCTTCCTGGGAGGGGTTGCACTCAGGAAAGGCCATGAGGGGATGGAGCTCCTGCATTCAAAAGTGTGATATTAATTAAACTGGATCCTTTTACTTAATTCAATTCAGTTTATTTATATAGTGCCAATTTACAACACATGTAATCTCAAGGCACTTTTCAGAGACAGTACAGATTGGTTAAAATTTTCTAACAAAAAAAACAGTTGAGTGCATTGAGTCATTGAACTGCTACACATGCTCCTTCAATGTAGATGAGCTTAAATTACATAATGCACACAAACTTACGAAAAGGACTGGAGCAGCGTAGCTGTTTGGTGAAGAAGTGGATCTGCTGATATTCTTGTGAATATCCTAAGAAAAGAGAAGAGAATTTTAAAAGTGCTAAGTAGATGTAGAGTTACTCCTTTATCACTTAATGCGTTCAATCTAAATTACCATTTTGATTTTTAAAGAAGAATGACAGCCCCTAATTATCTAAAGGATGTGTTTTTTTTATTTTCATTTATTTATGTCTTACATACGAGGACTCTTGTACAAAAGATACTCATTAAGTCTTACCAACTTTCAAGTGGTGCGTGTATCACACGAATGAACCCTGATAGGATTAATAATAATAATCCCTTATTGTCCTAGAAATGAAAACCAAACAGAGCAAGTTTCTTATCTCCAGAAAAGGAGAGAGAGAACAGACAGAGGATGAGAACCCTTGAAAAGTCTGTACTCAACTCTGCCAGAACCTTTCTTTTCTGCTGCTTTTATTACCGGACTTCAAAGGAATAAGAAGAGCGGTCAAAAGTTACCAGGAGGGGTCAGAAGTTATCAGAGGTGTCAAAAGTACCCATATTTGGAACTTAAGTAGAAGTATAGCAGCTTAAATACACTCTGGTAAAAGTATCAACTTGACCTCTTTACTCAAGTAAAAGCGAAAAAGTATGTGCTCCAAAAACTACTTAAATTTTAAAAGTATAAAGTAACCTTTAAAAGAAACAGCCAGATGCCACTATATGAATTGAAAGCTCTATTTTTTGGCTATTTCGAAAAATTCTTTGAGATACGGCCAAGGATGAGGGAGGTCTTGTTGGTCTCCATCTCCATCTCCCGATACGCTCTCGTCTGTGTCCGACCTTTCAGACATTTCTTTTTCTGAATCCAACATTGTAGCATGGCATATACAATTCGCATTTGCAGTTTGAAGAACACCTGCTTGCTTCTGATGATTTCCTTTAGCTAACCAATGAGTGTTTGCGTTATATGACTCATCAATTAAACTAGTTTTCACTAGATGTGGATGGCACCAATGATCTGCATTGGATGGCGCACATGACGTGAAACAAGTATTTATAAATATTAGGCTTTACTTTGCGCAGGCTGTCTGGAGCTCTGCAGGGTGGGGCAGAGCGGAGACAGAGGATTGGGGATTGAGGGGTAACAGGAGAAGTGGGGCAAGTGTCATTTAGACACTGTCATCAGACAACATGCAATAATTTATAATTGTTTTAAATCAGGTTGGGTCCGGATTAGCCAGCAGGTGGGTCTGGATCCGGACCGTGGTCTGCTAATCCCTGACCTCTGCATTAAACAGAAGCCAAGAGTAACGAGTAACCTTTGAATTAAAAATGTGAGGAATAGAAAGTACAGATACTTGTGTAAAAATGTAATGAGTAGAAGTCAGAAGTAGGAAGCAAATAATTAATGGAGCAAATAATTAATGGAGTAAAGTATAGATACCTAAAAAGTGTACTTAAGTACAGTAACGAAGTAATTGTACTTCGTTACTTGACACCTCTGGAAGTTATTAGTCACCTACGGCAGCATAGCTGGATAATACCAGGCCCTGAGAGAAATATTTGCTCTCCTCTTTTAGAACAACACTTAACATTCCTGGGCCAGATGTTTGTAACTTGAAATAAAATTAAAGCTGCGAGCGGCATTGGGATGCCCTTGCAGCTCAGCACCGCTCGGACTATCACAACCATGGGAGCCAAGCAACTACCCCCTCCTTTCCCCTTCCCAGCCAGCAAAAAAAGTTCAACACTTCACCTCTGGACCAGCTGAAGACAACCACAGCTTTGGTCAGGAAGAGTTAAACTAGGGATAAAATATAATATCTGGGACAAATCTCATCTGTCGGATAGATGCCATGGCCATCTCAGTTGGTGGGTCTAAAGTGATGTCACCACATGACAATGTAAGCTTTCGTTGTGTCTACACATTGACTGCATATTTGCTTAGAGACATCAAGTGAGATGATGTTTGGGACTTCAATCTTTCGGGATATAGTTGCATCTACGTCTTATATTTTATTCTTGTTTCTACACAGTCATAAAAAAGCAAAGCTTTAAGTTAAACTTGAACTGAAATATCATTAGTATAAGTTTGTGGTCCAACAGTTCTATTTGCTTTACTGCCTGCTTCTATGATGTCTTTACCCCCTAATAGTTTATATTCCATTACTAGTCACTTGTATTTTATTGTCTAATTAATGTAAAGCATTTTGAATTGGCTCCCATCCACTGCCACCTCCTTGCTTCTTCCAGCAAGCCAATAAGTTCCAGACTTCACCATTAGATGAACAGTGGACATCCAAAGCTTTAGTCAGCAAGGTTTAAACTGTAGTTAAAAGACATTACCTGGCACAAAGTACTCTGAATTGTTTTTGCACTGATTTGTGGTCAAACACTAAGTTATTCTCAATGTGAACATCAACAGTATGTTCTTATAAAAACGTTTTTATTATGCCTATTATAGAGGAGAAAACACATTAATTCCAGATATCCAGCATCTTTGAGCTGTATCAAAAAATACTACATGGCTTAAATAAGTAAACACCATTCTGTGTAAAGGGTTTAACAGAAATGTCATTTTATAAATAAAGAGGCTTTAATTTATCCTGTCTTTACAGAAATATATTTGTAAAATGTTGAGATTGTTGAGAAAATTCAAACATTTTCCAAGTTATTATCTTAATATATATATTTTCAAAAGAGGGAGAAACAGCACCCTCAAAAGCCACTGAAAAGCAGTATCACACCCTATTCAAAACTATAAAAAATCATTAAAAATCAAAAATGACAAGGATTACATCCTGCATATCCTAGAATTTTTTTAGATGCTTTACTAAATAGTTCAAAGAAAGAAACTCTTAAACCTGAAAGCCATATACTCAGGCAGGTGGAAGTCCCCATAAGATGCTCAAATATCAACAGATTCATTCCAAACTTGGGAATATCGACTGATATCAAAGGATACATAACTGGTATAACTTTGGCTTGGATTGTTTTAAAACTGAAAAACAACAATTTCCTGTGAACACAAATTTCTGAAAAATCAAAGTGATGGACTTTAAAGAGGAGCTGTGTTTCGTTTACCACCAAACAACAAGTTAAAGGAATCTATTCTAAAAATACTAGGTCTTTTGGGCAAACGGATGATTTTTTTAGAAATATTTTAGCAAACTAATTCTCTTGTTGTTTGATTTAAAATGGCCAACTCCCTGTGGGGTTTAGACCATGGCTCCAATTCAAATTTTTGTGGGTGCTGGGCTCATACAGATGTGTGCCAAATTTTATGATCCTTAGAAAGAGTTGGTCAGTGCAAATGGCCAACGAATGCCTAAGAACGCAAACTTTCGAAAAGTCAGAGTGACAGACTCTAAAGAAGGGCGTTTGCCATGTTAACCAACTTACAACATGCTCTGAAAGGAACCTATTTTGAAACTTTCAGCTCATTTGGATGAAAGGCTGATTTTTTTATTTTTTTATTTTCTGAAAACAGGTCAATCCTTTTTCAACAGGCTCAAAATGGCTGATGGTTTTAATTTCTTTTATTCTAGGGGGTGCTGTTGTTAAATTAAGCCCCACCCACAGAATATTGCTCTGTATTCCTGTTTGAGGTTGGACTAGGATCATCTCTTGTGATTTTGGTGCAGATCTGAAAATTAAGGAGGAAATGAGAGCCAATCCTATTTTAATGGCGAAAGGCCTCACTTTGCCAGGTCGGCATGGCAACAGTTTTAAACTAAAACTCTTCGATTAGACCATCGTGTTTTCTGACTTCTGACCTAGTTTCAAGGTGATGAGGTCAAAAATGACAAAAAGGGACCCTCCCAAGTGAAAAAGTGATGGGGCTTTGATGATGTCATCATTTGTCCAGCCAGTATCGTAAAGTAACTAAAGGCCCTAGGAGGAGATAGTTAAAGTTCGACGTCAACAAAATGTAAAAATTTGACCCATAATGGCTGACTTCCTGTAGGTTTTAGAGCATACCTCCAAGAGACTTTTCATGATTTGTCGAGATCTACTTACCTGCCAAATCAAATGGCAGCGACATGCGGTTTTCCCCATCTCACTTTAGGGGGCGCTGTAGAGCCATTTGGTCACACCCATTTTGAAATCCATTGAAATACATACATTTTCGCAGGGGGGCAATTTACTGCCAAGTTTGGTGAGTTTTTGAACATGTTAAAGCCTAAAAAAAGCCCTTTCTTTTGTAATAAATACTACAGATACAATAGATCTAATGATAAGATATACATTTTTCTAACAAACCCTTTGCAGCCTCCCATTCATAGAGCCCTTTTACATTAATATAGTGATACAGGAACAGAGCCACCTGCATTATGAGAGCCTCCACCCACCAAGAACACAGACTGTTTAGCCTTCTAACATCACATAAAAGGCTCTGACACCATCAGGGCAAAAGCAGGAAGGCTGAAATGCAGCATCTTTCTAGAAACTAAGAGAATCAGGAAGAACAACCCTGAGCTCTGATGCTGCACTAAACTCAAACCATAACAGCAAAATATTTAAATCTTATTTTACTACTGTGTACATTTACCGTTGTATATTTTTATATATCTGTTTGTATTTTTAGTATTTTATGCTTTTTATGTTTATACATACAGTTTCAGGAAAATATTAGACTATGCTTTTTGATCTTTTCATTTGTGCTGATTGTAGGTAATATACTTTTACAACAGGGTAATAAAGAAAAAGGAGTGGTATAATCCATTTTTTCATTATAGTGTATATTTTATACCTGCTGCTTCTATCTAAGCAATCTGCCGCAAGAAAAGCCCATTATTGGCTCTGTTTTTCCTCATTTTGCACCCCTTCTCTTTTCTGTTAATGCAATCTAATGCCCCTTAGTTTTTTTTTTTTTTTTATGTTAACAAGCAGATGACAATAAAGACCTTTAAAAATGTCAGTGTGTAGCTCTGTCACAGTGAAGATGTCCTTGAAATATGAATAAGAAAATATTCTTCCCCTGACTTTATCAACATGAAGAGATTAAATATTAACTTACTGTTTCAATAAAATCTTACTGTTTCCTTCCTATTTCGTTATCTTTTAATGATAATGTATTAAAAACATTTATCCAAGCATCAGAACAATAAGCCTGAATATTTTCTTGTATCTATTATAAATATTAGCTCTCTATAATAACTTTCTTAATCTGTATTTCAATCATTTTCCTTTCTGTATGCACTTTGCACACTTCAGTGAGCATTGAAAACATACCCCTACCTTTGTGCTGTGCGATCCAGTCATATGTCTCAGGGTAAGCCAAGGCTGCATGCAATGCAAGCTTCTTTTAAGCTGGATACCCAACAGCTGCAGCAGCCTTTATACCGAAAGGGCATGAGACAGAAACTCCACCTCCCACCTCTTTGTTTCTTGTGGGTAAAAATTATAGGATACAATAACTTTTTGACTCTTTTAAATATCCGAAGACACTGAATGAGAATTTAAAACATCTCTTTCTGAGTTTCATCACTATGTACATATGGCAAGTTGGAATTCAGGCTCCTTCATCTGAAAAGTGCTTTAAGTAAAATGTTGATGCTGTCAAACATAACCCACTAAGATTTTTTGTATTAAAAATAATTATGTAGAGCATATATTGTTTGTCTACGTGATGTTATGGATAAACTGTAGAATATATTCAGAAGATTTATATAATCAAATTTTTTTAAGCAAAAGGGGCATTATCTGAAGAATTTTTGCAAAGCGCCTGAAAGAATCTAACACAAGACAGAAAATACTGAGATTTATGGTGTAATTAAAAGAGGAATGAGGTATAAACTGGTCCAGGGAATTACATCACACTCTACTTCTCTCGATCTTTCTAGGAATGTATTAGAAAGCTGTGTTTCATAAGGAGCAGGGAGAGATTTAACATTTTTTTAATTCACTTTTCAAATTACAATCTAGTTGATCACATTTAATGCATTACTAGATACTTCCAGAACTGAAATTGAATTGTTGAATAACTCTCTACCATCACAGCCAAAAAACACAATATCTTTACTAAGATAATACACAGCCTCCTGTGACACTGGATGTTCTCACCATAGGAGATCTGCCCTTCTTTTACTGGAGTTTCCAAGTAGTTAAGTAACAAGTCTGGTGTTACAATATTGCTAACATTTAGGCCAAGGTGGCATGTAAATACCACTTTTTACTCTGACATAATAGTTCATTGATAGGAAAAAAGTAACCAACAAAATGCTACTCAGATCCAGATATTAGAGTGATTTCAAGAGCTTGGGTAACATTAACTACTGTTTAGGTTAAGTAAAAACAAGGAGCCAGAAGTTCCCTGAGTAGATCAGACACCATTAAATGCATAAATGCAGATAGAGAGCTTATCTGACAACAAGGAAATACTGTAAAACAAGTAAATTGGCTTGCAGGTGGCGCTGTGCTTAGCAAGCACAACCCATGTACAGAGACCTTAGTCCTTGACGCGGGTGACCCATGTTCGAATCCGGCCTGTGATCCTTTCCCACATGTCTACCCCTCTCTCATACCCCCCCCTTCCTAAAAAGTCCCCACAAAAAAAAAAAAAAAAAAAAAAAACAAGTAAATCTTGAGTAGTAATTTCTAACTACCTTCAGCAACTGCAATGCTACAGCAACCTTCAGCAACTGCAATGCTACAGTCCACACCAATGATTCTCCCTGCAAGAATTTTTAACCCAAATATTTTATGTAATTAAACACATTCAAATCATCTGGGTTTATAAAGGCACCTTCTTCAGCTGTGACTCATTTGCCAGCATAGATCTTCTGCTTTGTTCACAACCAACAGCTTCAGCTTATCAACAATCTGTCTAGCAACACATACTATAAACAGAATTGATTTGGATGATTGTTATGCAGCAGTTAAAAGCCATTCATTGAAATTCATTGAATAATAATGTAATAATAAAATGCACATTTGGTCAAAAAGCGTTGCAACAGGTTTGTCTTTATACAAACTGTATTCTTCTGGTCTGATTTTGAAAACAAGGAGGAAAGAAAAACCATAATGTTGGTCCCCCAGACCGATGCTGACATCTTGTGGAGATACATTTGTCAGTGATTTGAATCCAAATTCTGATTTTCACCTACAGTGCTTTGCAAAAGTATCAGACTTTTCAAACTTTTGCCTCATTTCAGGCTACAAACATAAAGATGGTAAATTATAATTATTTGCAAAGAATGAACAATGAGAGGCACACAATCATGAAGAGAAACAACATTTATTGAACATTTCAAACTTTTTTAAGAAATAAAAACTGAAGAGTGGGGCATGCGAAAACTATTGGCCTCTTTCAGTGCAGCAAACTGAGTTAGGTGAGAATCTCTGAATTATCTAATGTTGATCTAAATGACTGATGATGATAAATAGAATCCAATTGTGTGTAATCAAGACCATGAAGAACAAGGAACACACCAGGCAGGTCTAAGGTACTGTTGTGGAGAAATTTAAAGCCAGATTTGGATACAAATAGATTCCCCAAGCTTTAAACATCCCAAAGAGCACTGTGTAAGCGATAATATATAAATGGAAGGAGTATCAGACCACTGCAAATCTATGAGGATACCTCTAAACTTTCAGCTCAAACAAGGAGAGGATTGATCAGAGAAGCAGGCATGAGGCCCATGATTAATCTGGATGAACTGCAGAGATCTACAGCTGAAGTGGGAGACTCTGTTCATATAACAACAATAGGTCATATACTGCACACATCTAACCTTTATGGAAGAAGCCATTTTTTAAAGATGGTAGTAACAAGTCTTGTTTAAAGATTGCCACAAGCCACCTGGGAGTCCCAGCAAACATGTGAAAGAAGGTGCTCTGATCAGATGAAGCCAAAATCAAACTTTTTCGACATCAATGCAAAAATACAGGACCATTCTGGAAGAAAAAACTGTTGGAGCCTAGAAAAGATCTGAGACTGGGACGGAGACCGGGGAAACATGGAGCAGAATCTACATTGGAATGATTCACAAATAAACATATCCAGGTGTTAGAATGGCCAACTCAAAGTCCAGACCTGAATCTAATCCAGAATCTGTGGAAAGAACTAAAAACAGCTGTTCACAAACACACGCCATTCAACCTCACTGAGCTCCAGTTGTTTTGCGGGAAGAATGGGCAAAAATGTCAGTCTCTCGATGTGCAAACCGGTGGCAACATACCCCATGCAACTTGCATCACTAACCACAGCAA